GAAAAGGAACATTAGAGAACACTGGAAATACGATATAACAGAAGTCTGATACTATAATATAATGTTATAAAAATAGGTCATTGGAAAACCATTAAGGCCAGTATACCCTTCAAATATTGTTCAAGAAAAATGATCTTGGCGAAAATTATTTCTGTTAAGCTAAAAGGACAATATTTTAATAAAAATATAAACTTTCAGAAAAGATAACTGGCAGAAATATAGCTTTAGAAAATTAGTTTGACCAGTTTGTTCAGATGTTTGAAAGCGGCCATATATCAATGGTCGTGTAATCTTTTATAGTGCTCGTGTGCTTGGTGAGCTTATGTGAGAAGTGATTGTGGATATTTCAGTGAATCAAAGAGTGGTGCGTCAAATAATAAAAATACGGTAAAATATTTTACTTTTTCACGCAATGCGTATATTATACTATATATATATATATAAGATGCCTGATAAAATTAAGGCTAATCATTGAAAAAGTTTTTAAATATTTGTATTTGAATTGATTCATTTTTTAACTTGTTATGGATTTAAAACAATAGTTTTAGGTCTTTTAAAAATAAATATTAATGCGAAATAAAACAAAAGAGTTCGATTTGTAATTCTAATGCAAAATCTAATACATGTGTTAAATTTGAATTCAATGACAAATCATTGTGTGCTAAAATAATATTCTGTGTGGATACTGATGAGACCACTGACCACAGGTGGTCACAAAATGGAAATATTAAATTTGGTTGACAAATATGAAGCCTTGTGTTTATATAAATTTGTGTAATATAATATTATGAACTCGTAGGTATTTATTAAATTATAATGTTTTGTTCCGATATTTATATTTTAATATTTATTTTACAATAATAGTACTTACTTATTTACGAAGACATGATATTGGTGTGGAAGTCTGGAAATTATTGCATGTAACACGAACTGGTTAGGCGTAAGCGTCATAGAAAAATAAGAACAATATATAAATATATAATGATATTATTATGGATTTGTAAAAATAATATTATAGGTAACTTACAAAACCTACCATGGGAAGGTCTTGCGTCCACTTTTCTGCATTATCAACGATAGAGTTTCGTTGCTGAAGGGAATTACTAAGTTACTCCATTATAATAATTTATGACAATAAATGACATTAATTACCGATTGAAATAAATGTATTATTCAAAGTAAAATAAAAGGCTAAGCGAGCTGTGTTTTGTTCAATAGTGCAGTTATTTAAAATCTGATTTTTGGAGTTTTTAAATAAACCATACTTTCAAATAGCTGAGATTTTTTATACTAATTAAGGTGTGTCCTGTGGAGATACAAAATTCTCTTTTTCTAATGAAAACACCCCTTTATAACTATAAGTATCATACAGTAGATACATTTTCTGAATATATTGACTATCAGAATCAAAATTTGTATATGATTAGTTTTTGAGTTATTTAACTTTGTGTTCTAAGGATAAAATATTAAAATGAGTTTATAAGATATGTGAGCTATGCATGGCCATTTAAACATTGTAGTCATTTATATTAATATTTAACATTTATATTTTTAAAATAATTTGTGAATGTAATGTATTTGAAAATTCCATTAATCCGAATTTAAATAAACACATTATCTAAGGAAAAATAGGGGTTGCACTGCACGTGCATGCTTGGTGAACCACCTTGTATATATTATATTATGCAATAATTTGGCGCGCGAAAATATAGACAGAAAGAGGCACAACGTTATTGGTATTTGGTTCCTTTAATTAAGCTTACTGTAGAGACAAAGGCACATAATAATTATGTAGTTTCAGCACTGGGGTTAATTTATATTCTATAATATATAGGCAAGTAGACCAAAGACCTTTAATTATTTTGATAGGAAGATACGCCAATGTAGGTACACATCATAAATTATTAAACTAGCGATCTACAAATTATATTTCTATTGATATCTAAGATCAAACTTTACAACATATCATATTATATGTATATTATAATACCTACTATAATATAATATTAATTCATTTTACTTATTAACTTATAAATCAATAATGACGTATTGTACTAGAATGTTATAGAATGGCGTTATTGTTATAGTTCTTGCCTTCTTGGTATAAATAGCATAAAATAGTCTCAATATATTTAAAATGTCATTATGTATAAAAAAATTGTAAAAGGTATAATAGTAGAATAACATTTCATACGGTTTAATAATAAAATAAATAAAATTGTTTGAGAAAAATCATTATTTTACATTTTATTAAACAATTTTGTAAAATTTTGAACTCAAAACTATTATTAAACAATTTGTTTCTGTTTATTTTTTGTACTTCTGAACTGCCTTAAGATCAATTTAAAAGGAACACTATTGCATTTCATTTTCTGAAAGTTTTTTGACCAAAATATAATATGTTTCAAAAATATAAATAAATGTTTTTAAAAAGTGCATATTTACAAATGTTTATAAACAATTTAAAAATAGCCAATGTATTTTTCAATTGTATAATATCGTAAAATGTTGATGTAAATATTTGGAAATAATTTCAAATATATGGGCTATTTTGTTAACAAAATATAAAATTTATTTGTTGAGAACTTGTGCTGAGTGTTCGTACTGTTTTTTCAGATTGTTTTAAAATAATTGATATTTTTCATACCAAAAACCAAAATTTCCAAAAAAATACACTCAAAGTTAAATATATTTTTTTTTATAAATTAACACGAAGGACTTTATATACATTTATATGGGTACATATTTGAATATTTCTCATATATTTGAATAGTAGCCCAGGCAGAATAATTTATAATTATAATAATATTATTATAATATTTTTATTCAACAAATTCCAATACAAGACTGTAAAATTATGATAGTTGGTTTGGGTAGGTTAGGTTTGAATATCAAAAAAAAACAAGCAAAGGAAATTACAACATATAGTTTCAACCATCATAATATCTCCATCTGGTCAGACTTCATCTTTTCTATAATATTGTAATATGTACCTATAGCAAACCTGTAAAATGAATCACACAATAGCTATTGCCATACGAACATACATTTTGCGATACAACTACACTGGTGAATATAATGGAGTACGGGTCGAGGAGAATTGTATATTGTTATATAACCCTTCTACAACATTATTGGTGTAGAAATCTTAAGATAATCGATCGGTAATTCTACATTCAATTTTAGTTAGGGGTGAAGTCCCTCCTCATAATTTTAACCCTAGTCACAATGGCTTATTTAGGGGAGTACTGTACCTCGTAGCGGCAGAATGACGACGTTTAAACAAAGGAGGACATTTTGTCACAAAGTCAAGAATAGACCAAAAGCCCAAGTATCGATATAGTTCTAAACACTATATTATAACCAGTATAGTGAGTGTAGTGAGTAGTTGTACATCATAGTTATTGTAATTTACAATACTCGTTATTACAACCTCACTTGTCGTTCATATAGGCAGAGATGCATTTAACGGGTGGAAAGGGGGGAATTTGCCCCTAGGGCCTAGGTTGCAATTTTAAGGTGATTTGAGGGGTGGCAGATTTTTAGAAAATATTGCATATTATAATATTATACGTTCTCCGTTACGAGTTTCATATTACATTTTTAAAATAATACAATATTATACTCTTTAATATTTTAAAACTATTAAAACGTATTAAAATATATTTCTGCTATTTTTGTGATGGCAAAAAAAGAGTGGTGAAAATCATATCATATTTTTAAAAAATATGTAGAGGTGGCAAATTTTATGTTGCCCCGGGTAGCAATTTGGCTTAATGCTGCACTGAATACAGGATAGGTCATAATAAATTTTGATACTACATAGTATTTTATACATTTTCTATTATTATCACATCATTACTCTATGACAAGACTATAAAAGGTGTATAAGTTCTAGTTCTAATTATGTAATATTTGATTATGGTTGTACCTTGGTAAGTGCTTATCATTTATCAATATAACTATCATTTTTTTATAAATTATGTAATATAAATAACATAGCTAGAACTTGTAAACTATTCATGCTCATTAGTGTCATTATAGGTACCTACCTACCTCCAACCAGTCAAACATGGTTGTTAATTAATTATTATTAAACATAATAGAATTGTTATTTGACTAATGATCTTTGTTTATTAGGAAGGTAGTTAATTGTTTACAAACATACAGAATTCTTTATTTTTTGGATTAAATAAAATATAAACGTTATAAGATGATGGTTGGTGACATTTTATTTCATTTTTAAATTTGATGAAATCATAAAGGCTAAATATAGAACTATATAACTAATAAAAAAAAAACTAATCTAAAAATGTGTAGGTACTTCCAGGCAAGAAACAAGAATATGTAAAACATGTGGCTATCATACATCCATCAAACATATATATATATATATATATAAATATATTATTTATTGTGTTTATGGGATAAACATAAGAATCTCGGCAAACATATGACATACCAGGACTCCCTTGTACCGATGTAGATAGAATAAAAAATGATATTTTTCACCAAACACGTTAACCCAATCAAATTAGTTAAGTTTAGTTTAAGTAATAATTATAAAAAAATATGTTAAAATATCCAAAAATGTATAAACTACGAGCCAATTGTCCAGCTACCGAGGATTTAACACTGGTAAAAAAAACTTAGTTATTATGTATTAAAAAAGAAAAAAATATTTTTATAAAATTTTAACATAACGGTAAATAATTGGGGGGGGGGGATCATATTGCCCCAACTCACCAAATTCCTAAATACGCTACTGCCTATTAAACCGACCAAAACATCAACAACAACAAAACACTAACGACCGGTAGTACCTCCTAATTAACACACAGTATTTACAACAATAACAATATTATCGTGTCACATCGGCCGTCGTCGTTGCTCGTAACGACGGTGTTAAATTATAATTTATAATATTACAATATTTTAATGTCGCGAGCGTATTCCAAGCCGTAGATAATAACGCGATTTGCAATTCAAATCGGTCGGCGTCGCTAAGCCGCCAAACTGCCAGTGACTCGAAGCACCGCAATCGTAGTCGCGCGGCCGGTCAAAGGTCGTTTGCTGGTCGTACAACCGTCGCCGATTTCCAACGACAAGTTCCGGTAATCACAGTGGCTGCAGCAACAACAACGGGGTCACGTGCGATGGAGTCGTCGGTTGGTTGCTGGCTGTGGTGGTTGGCCAACGCGGTCGTGTGTTGCGTGGGCACAGCGGTCGTCGTCCGCAAGTTGCTAGTGCCGTGGACGTGCTGGTTGGGCCGACGGGCTCTGTGCTGGTCCCGATACGTACTGTTCTATGGCCACGCCGGCGTAGGGCCCGAGGTACGGCGTGCACCGCCCTCTTGTCGGTGCTGTGGCGGAGTGCACTTTGACGGAATGGCCGGAAGCTGGGCGGGTAAGTTTGTGCAGTGAGTGCAGGCAACGATAGACGTATATTTTACTGAAACCTAAAGGGACCAATACAGTTGATGTACATTTTTTTTGGTGGAATTCAAAATTGATGTTTATATTACTATTGTGGGTGGGACCAATTTTCTCCAAAAACGAGATTTCCTCCGCAGTTTATTCTCCTCGAAAGAAAAAAAGTAAGGTATATAGTCATATAGGTACTTTCCATTTCTCCCCCCCCCCAAATATTCGTTTTCATGTCTATTTTTCTCTAAATATTAAAACCATATGTTAATACCTAGATTACCTAGGCTAGGTATATACAAACGATTAATTAAATTTGTTGTACGTATGAAATCATGATAAAAGTTATTTTATTTGCATTCTGATGTCTAGTACTATTATAGTAGTATGAGTATAATAATAGGATGTATAATATTAATGTTATAAATATGATATTAAATAAAATATGTATGATAATTTGTAGTTGTTCAACATTATAGTATATCAATTAATATTTATCTACATTTTATCCCAATGATTTTTAATTTTAATTTATTTCGTATTTGATGTGTACATAAAAATATATAGAACAATATATGCTTTACTAGGTACGATAGGTCATAGGTCTATCTATTGAAATTATTAACTGAGTGAAAATGAAATGTTTTGACAATTATTGGGAAAATAATGGACAGTTTAGGATATAATGGTTTGGATATTCTGTGAACACGTGAATATGTGATAGGTACCTAGTTCTAAAGTGCTATACTGATACCACATTAGCTGCACTTGTTTGCCACGTTCGTTCAGTGATTCTCACGAATAATAATTTTTGTTTTCGTTTCGTCGGGTGACATGTCTGCCTGGCTCATAATGTACGAATCTTGTTGCCTGATAATGTGCAAAACTAATACGTTCTACGACGGGCAATCCTTCCAAAACTGTAGTGGTGACTGGTTGCACCGACGGTATCGGCAAAGAGTACGCGATGCAGGTAATTAGCAATTTTGGAATACTAGCAATCGAGTAAATAACTACTTTCAAAATTTTATTTTTCCATTACGTGTTGTACCAACTAGTTGGCCGACCGTGGAATGAATGTAGCGCTGGTCAGTCGGAACTTACACAAGTTGCTAGCAGTAGCTCAGCAGATCGGTACGTATAATAAATTAATATAATATTTATAATGATACCTATTACTGTTATTGTACGCTGTTTATATAATTCTATAGATCTGTAATAGTGTGTTCTAATTTCCAAGTAAAAACCCTATTCGTGTAGCTGAAAACCATTGAGTTCAATTGGTATTGAAACATTTAGTTTGCATTTACACAGTTTTTGTCAAATTTCACTTTTTAAGTTTGAATTTTGACGAAATTAGATATTTAAAAAAAAAAACATAACGATTTTAGTTGTTTTGGTTGTAGTTAATAAACATTATTCGTGGTACTTGACACTTTGAAAAGTATATTATTATAGTTTTACTTTCTACACACAATTACATTTTCGAATGCAATGTTTTCGACAAAAATTAATTTAACCTATACTGCATTATTATAATAGCTATAGAAAATCAATTACCTACTTTAATAGCAATAATATCATAAAATATACCTAGTTATAATGGCTGACTTAGTTTAGAATCGTTTTTCGTATGCAACGATCTATCATTATAGTTTCAAATTTAACACATGAATACATTATAGTGAATTAGTCCTCAATGATCGAGATTCGAGGTACACCCGACGCCAATACTGTACAGAAAATTGGTTATACATACTTCCCCCTTATTGTTTATTAGTTTAAGTATTAGATAAAGGGTGGAAATTGTATTGATTTTATAATGATGTGTGTTTGTATGTGGTGACACTTTTTCTAGTAGAACAAATACTACATGGTTACCAACATCGATGGAGGGTTTTTCTATTAACGTCGAAAAAAAATTATGCGTAGAGTAAAAATACATAGCCGACAATTTAATGCAAATTTAATCATAATTTGTTATTATAGTTATTTACAAATATTAAACATAGTCAATTTTTTTTTAGTCATTAAAAATTAAATTTTGACAAAATTTGTCAAAATTACGAACATTCCCAAATTATTTTGTAGTTTATAATTCATCAATTAATGTTAAATTTGCATAACTAAGACTCGAATATGTAATACAAGGTTTCCTGTGAATATAGTTCCTACTGTGATTCAAAAATCATCTGATCATCATTTTAGGATTATATGTGTACAATTGAGATGTAGTTTTTTGGAAAAATTAAGAAATCAACCTACCTCTTATTACTTATAAAAATAGGTAATTGAAATATTAATGTAATTGAAATATTCTCTGGCCTCCTCTCAGACACAAATATACAATAATTTTACAACGATATGGACATCATGAATCATTGGATTCAAATTTAATGCTTAATTTACAGTGACACAATCGACATCTACCGAAGAGCCGAGTGGTTCTCACTAGTTCGACTTAATTTAATTTTAATATGCTATCTATATATTGTTTGTTTTAAATCCTTATAATGTAGAAAAAAATATCAGATTATACCAAACTAAGCACAAAATAATAAATATAACAATCAACAGTTTTAATTCATGTGACAACAATTTAATAAAACTATGTAGGTAACACAATAAGTAATAAGTTAGAATCATAAATCTAAATAGACAGATTTTAGAACTGATTTTCGAGCTATTATAGTGCGATACAGTAGTAGAGTTACGGTATCAGCAACCTACTGTTGTGTGTTATTAAACTATTGTGTCTCAAATTATGTAAATTAGTTGTATATTACCGGTGAGTTACGATCATGATCTCAATAATATTTTACCAAGCATGGTAACAAAACTGAAACCGTTATATTTTATAACTAAAATGTATTACATAATATGATATATGAATATGACAATCAAAATCAATATCTTGATTATTACATAAGACACTAATAGTAAGATGGATGTGATACCTATAACTTATGATAAAAAATGTCCATATCACTTGGTCGACAAATGATGATGGACGATGGTTGTAGGCTGTGTGCGGACAGTAATGCTATGCCGCCCCTAAGACCCTAGAGAAATTTCCCCAACCCCTAAATACGTCCCCTCCATCGTGTGGGGGTGTGGTCTCGGCATTATATATTTTATTCTATGTTCGCGTGTGCTGCAGACGAACGGCACGCGGGTCGGGTGAAGACTAAGATCGTCGTAGCGGACTTCACGTCGTCCGGTGGCACCGTCCCGTTGTCGGCGACTTACGACGCGGTGCGACGCGGACTCGCCCGCTTGGACGTGCGGCTGCTGGTGAACAACGCGGGCGTGGGCTACGCGCGACCCGAACGGCTGCTTGACCTGGCGCCATGCTGCACCGGCGCGCTACCCGATCCGTGCCGCGACGTGGTCGAGTGCAACGCGCTGGCCACCGTGGCCATGTGCCGCATCGTCATGCCACTGATGATCGTCGACGGTGTGGACAGCAGCGACGAGATCCACGGCGGCGAAGATGCGGAAGGAGACTTCCGGGAGCGGTCGGATGACAAGGAATACACGTCTCCTAGACGCGGAGGCGGCGGAGTCGTCATCAATGTGTCGTCAGCCTCGGCTAAGCTCCCGTGTCCGCTCCTCAGCATCTATGGCGCCACCAAGGTACAACGATTTGTTATCATATAACCTGTTACATTTATTATGCCAAGTTGCATAAACAAATTGATTTATTTAACGGTATCAGTAAAATTTAACGGACCAATCGTTGGCCACTAAGTCATGTTTAAGGAGTGACATTGGCAGATTATTAGCTCATTTTACTCTGTACAATAATAGACTGGCAAAATAATTATTCTACGAAAATTGTCGTATACGTATTATTCACCTTTAGCTTAGGTAGGTAACTATACAACAGCACGTCAACACACAGACTAATCAGAGTTAAGAACATATTATTATTGTCATAATTGTTATTTAGTTACACACATTAATAACTTTTGTGCGTCCGATAGTCTTATCGTCATATTATTAGAATACTCCACGGCTACACTCTTTGTTTCATTCAAAACTAGAGCCTTAAATATTATTATGCATGTTGCACGATATTATTTTAAATATAAATGGTGATTTACAGCTAAATTTACTAGGTACCTACCAAAAAAATTTATACAGTTACTGAGAACTGGAAACTAAAATTGTCACACCGGTGGCACATGTACATTATGGATAATACATGTTATTAGATAATCATTTTATTATACGTTTATTATCAATCCCATAGAGAAGTCATTCATCATATGACTAGAACAGCAAAAAGTCTAATTTTGTATTATAATATGTTCTAAAACCAAAGCAAGCCAACTCTCTGAAGAGATTTTGTCTGCTAGATAGTAGCACATAATTCGTGTTTTGGCGTTACCTAGTCCTCATATTATTATCAATTTCAGTACCTTCATATCAATTGAGGTTGTAACCAGAAGGGTTTAGGGGTATTAATAATCTTGGTTTTTCGCTACGAACATGTTATCTTATATATATATATATATATACAAATATTGAAACTATGTACCCCCCTCCCAACCACATCACCGAAATCATTTTGTGTTACACCACTGCTTAAAGTATTATTCCATATATACGTTTCATACTAATTATCATACTATGGTTTTGTTATTCAATCTCTAAACTTCGGTATACACCTCCTCGTATGTGTATCTAATGCGTGTAGCTTAATATTGACATATTGTAGTTGAGTATACAATTAATGAGACACACCTGTAGGAATACATACTGTATATTTCGCACCAATTACTACTATATAATAAAGCTATGTGCCGTAACGATTACAACTTCGCAACGAAAAAAATATTCAGTTCAAATGAGTAGATGCTATATTTTTCATATTCATATACCTACAGTAAATGTATTCTGCTAAACACAGTCATAATACTAATTTGTATAGGTATCGTTAAATGCATTACCAGTACCAGATCTAAAACTCAGGAGACCGGTGTCATACTATAATAATATTGGAATCCCGTTTCAAAAAATTACTTTTTATAAATACCTAAACATAATAGGTAGTATGGTTAGGTTATATTATACAAGTATCGATAAATTATGTGGAAAAGAAAAAAATTAAAAAATATTGATTAAAACAGTACTTATTTCATTTTTCAGGTTCTTATTCAAACTCGTTTATTTTTCATGAAAAATCTTTTTAAACGGGACAAAATCAAAAAGGTTTTGAACTTAACACTCTAGACATGATAATTATTATTCTACATAACATTCTTGTCTGTGTCTCATTATATTTTTCAGTATTCAAACAATTACTATATCATAAATAATGATTATTTTGCCCGTTGGCAAGTCGTGTGTACACACTTGGTGACTATTGAGTGTGTTTGAAAAGCATCCATAATACAAAGTTACCTAACTATGTGTGGTAGCCTAGGTAGTAGTCGGGGTTTTTTCTACACTAAACAGTGTACATGCTTCAACAGCTGTAGGCACAAACCAGTGGTCGAAGTTGCTCAAAGTGGATTGACGCCTTTCATAGTTTATATAGTTGTCATATATTGCTTAAACAGTCGTACAAAATAAGTGGAGGGATGGAAAATATGAAATATAAAAAGTAGAAAGACGCCATTCCACCGTAATCCCCCCCTCCCACACACTTCGACCACTGGGTAGAACCTTATGCACCTGGACACAGGACCGCCGCAATATTTTGAAAACGCACTGACACCGGTGTTCCCAAATATTCCCGGATTATTAAACGTTACACCGATGTACTGTACACAAATAATTATAAACGTCAAGCGGCCGTTTTTTGTCTGTTTGTGCACCCAGTCGTTTGTGGAAAAGTTGTCGGTGGAGTTGGCCACCGAGTACGACGAAGAGGACTCCACGCACCAGATCGCCGTCCGGTGCCTAACGCCCGGGTTCGTGGCCACCAAGATGAGCCAGATCCGACCGACGTCCACCGGTGACACGGGCTGGACGTACGCGCCAGTGCCGCGGTCGTACGCCAGCCACTCTCTCCGGGCGTTGGCCTGTCACTGCGCGTGTGGCCGGGCAGTGCGGAGGGGAAGCTCGTGGACGGATCGAAGCAGCGAAGCCGAAGCCGGTTAGGCCGAAGAACCGGCCGGATGGTTGGCGGCAGTGATCAGCGCCGTGTTCGACTCGCCGTCGTCGCCGCTGTCGGCCGGGCGGTCCGGCGTCACGACCACCGGTTACCCGTCGCACACACTCATGGTAACGTATGATAACGATATAATATACCTATGTGTTGAGTCTTATACCAACAGCTGTTTGTAGTAGACGATAGGATTCGAGAGTTTTTGAGTTTGCATGTTTTATTGTAGTGGTCGTGTAGACTATTCTAGGTACCCATATACATTTGGGGTAAGTATTTTGCAAACTGTTCACCCCTGCATGGTGATACCACAAGAATAGTAGGTATAGAAAATATAAATTTTAGTCATGGGAAATCTTAACATTAAATTTGAAGTAAACAACCAATGCCAAACCTAATGTCAAACCTTCATAAAAAGTTTATTTGATTTTTCAGTAAACTTTTTTTTGTTAAATGTAAAAAAATCTATGTGAGATCTTGTATTAAATTTTCAAATCTTAGATACGTAGGTACACATAGACATTTTTAATGAATTTCTAACTCAAATAATTTGCATATTTTTGAAATTATGTTGAATTTTGTTAAAATTCTAACCTCATAGGCTGCTAAAAAATTATGGTAGATTTACACTCAACTTTTTTAAAAAAAATTTTCTAACAGCCTACGAGGAACTTTGTATTACATTTTCGTATTTTTTAACAGAGCAAAAAAGTTTTTATTGATATCAATTTTAAAAAACTCTAAAAATTGTATGGTGTACAGAAATGCAAATATACCTACATTTTCAGTGAACATTTCTTGTACGTACTATGTTTATATTTTTTAGAGCTACAACAAATAATAAACCAATATTTTTTCAAAAACTAGTTTTAACTAAAAATCTGAATTGAATTTTCGTTTCGTTCAGCTCAGAATTTTTTCTGGACCTGAAAATTGTTTTTTTTTTCAAATTGAACCGGACACTTTTAGAAACTAATATTGCCAACTTCTAATTTAGTGCATATTCGTGGTTGTTAAGTGCATTAAATGCTCTGTCTTGGCTGTCAGCATACCTAACTTATATGCGTGTTACCGACATAATAATATAATATAATAACATAATATTATGATATAAATTATTATTAGTGACAACTATAATATATTGGAGACAAAATATAATCTTTGAAAATCTTTTGAAAAATAATGCAACCTTATAAAACGTAATCACGTTCTGATATAATGTAATAATAATTTTGAGCTAAATAAATATGTACGAAACGGATAATGTGAAAAATATTGGATTATTGTGATAAATCTGTAAACGCCTAAATTGTCACTGACGGTCGTAAAGCATAATGCAATAAAATTATGAAAATCCTATCAGAGTTTCAGAAGGCAACACGCCAACATCGTTCGAAGCGTTTCACAGATTTAATTTCACCCGTCAATATTCTATTAGTTTATATTATATATTATGTATACGAATATTCATTAAGAAAACATCACTTTCGTTTTCGTGCGCATTTGCTTTTAGGTCGCGTCAAATTTAATTTTCATCAGTGGTTTCTCCTCAAATTAAAAAAAAAAATGTATATCGGTAAAAGCTTAGATACGTCAGTAAAATGTCACCGACACGTACGCTACCCGGTAAAAAATGAAAAAAAATAAAAATAAAAATCTGCTTCATACCTTTGTTAAGAGGACGCTATACTGATATTAATTGTTGTCTTCATCTTGCAAGTGTGTAGTGTACCAAATTTACTCTCAGTAGATTAGTTTGAAGTGTTAGTTTGAAAATTAGAGTGAATCGACCTATTATGAAACTTGATAGTAAAAACTTTATAATGCGTGTGTTACAGTTTTTAAGTGAATTATAAGTATTTTTAATTTAAACTACATTACTCGTTCATGCACAAAAAATTTGCTAAAAAGTTGAACCGTCGCAAAAAAACTCTCATACAAACACGGATAATGTTCTTACCATCAAGTTTCATAATATGTCGATTCACTCTAATTTTTAAACTAACGAAGTTAAACGTGAGCGGCTGAGAGCAAATTTTGCTATGTCACGAACATGTGTGATTGAGATAATTTAATTAATGTGTGTGGAGCGTCTTCTTAACACTAACCTAAACGCAACCAGAAAAAATTACGATGACGACACTGTAACCATATATACCTTTTACCAGAGAGCATATTATAAGGTAGGTATATAATTGTAACACAAATAATATTTTAGCTGATGGCGGTGAACGTAGTCCGGTGGGTGTTCGGCGACCAATATGTGTCTAGCGCCGCTAGCCGGATGATGTGCGGTATGCGGAACCGGATAGCGAACCGGAACTCAGCCAAGATGCAAAAACAGACTTCCAACCCCGAATTCGAGAACAAAAGTCATGAGTCCGCGAGTCACAACTAGGTGCTTTCAGCCACTGGACTGCTAACTGTATGTGGTGGATCGAACATAATATTATGTACCTATATCTACACGATATCAAACCTACAATTGTACGTTTTAAATGGATATTTTAAAGATGAAAATTTATGAAAACATTTTATACTGGGGGACCTCGGAACCTCGACCGGTCCACAAAATATGGGCCCTCGATTTTAGATAAATAAAGAATAATGTATAAAATTGGTGTGTATCGTTGAATATATATGTACATTGTTTTTAATAACTTATTAAACTTATTAGTATAGTCATTATATTTTTTTTTGGTATGAAACGTGACGACTGTATATAGACGTGCTATTGTAGATTAATGTTCTTACAACTGCACAAGCATACATTCTCTGGACAGCGTATTTCATTCGACAATATTATATTTTCTATAGTTCACTAATGGTCGCGGCGAGTTGACGCAGAAAAGTATTCCTCGGATTTAATAATATTTTAATGCTCGTCCTTATGACCTCACTAACTGAGTGAAAAACATTTGGGCACATTAACCCAAATGCCAACACTTTTGGGTAAAAAATACAAATAGACAGAAAGCTTGAGCACATACAGTATAAAAGGTATTTTATAATTTTACTTGTTAAATCAGAGTACGTTTTGGTACCCCCGTACAAGACAAGTTTGGGTCCATGTACACTTCTCGTGGGGGGAGGGGGGGTTCATTTTAAAAATAGAAGTTTGTATAGCCACAGGATACTCCTTAAGTACACAAAATATCAGAAATTTGAAAATATGGTCTCTAGGTCTACTTAAAAATTCTAATAATCAGAATTTGAATAAATGTACTATTAAAGGGAAAAGTGCGGGGATGAGCATGCTCAAAAAATCACAATGTTTACTATACCAATATACATACCAATACCACAACAAATATTCTTTTATAGTTCAATTAGGTATAATACGTGTATGACACAACTATACAATGGTTTTTAAGTTTTAACCACTTTTTTGATTCATATTTAAATTTTATTTCCAAGAAGTCCCATCACTGGATGGATTTTTCGCTCAAGTCTTCAGTCACTTTTAATAATCTATTACAACACTTACGCTTATTGTAAAAATTATATATTTACAGATTGTGTAATAAAGCTAATTAAAAACAAAAAAAAAAAAAAATATTTAAATTTTTTTATTGATTGTAGGCACATAACATAATTAATTAAACGATATAGGTACATAATAACATATTTGGTATAATACATGATTTGGCTAATTTATTTATATGTGTATTAACCAACATAAATATATATTGATGTTATCGTATTGTTGTATCATATGTATATATACTATATAGTATATATAGGCATGTAAGCTAAATTGCAGCAGTTTGCATAACGTATCTTATCGCTTTTTGTATAATGTTCATATTTTTATTTGTCACAGTTTACATATCGACTTAAAAAAAAGATAATTTTGTCGCAGTTTACATACAACCATCATAATGTATACACGTAATATAAAATACTAATTTTCAGTCTTATATAGAAGCAAATTGTTTGCATTAGTATAATCAATGGAAATTCAAGAAGAAACTTTTTTAAAGATATGCAGCATTAAATGTTAAAAATATTATAAGGAAATATAATGTTGAATGTATTAAAAAAAATTTTAACGAGTCTAAAGTAGACAATGATATTTGATAATATATAAGAACATGTTTATATGACATTGGTCGAAGTTTTGTCAAAAAAAAAAAATGTATAGATACATAAATAAAATACAATTTTAATAGATTTAATATTTTTTCAATGAATGATCTAATGATTTTTATATATTAGACAATACGTAATAATAAATATATTTTTAAGTTGCAAAAAAAATGGTTGTTAAACTCCTATTGTGGTGTAACGTTAGGTAAACGGCTTGAAAAAATAAAATATTAGGTATTTTATAAATGTGTACCTAAACATTGATACCCAAACGTTGAAATGTTGCATTCATTTTTGATGTCTGAAAAAATGTGTACCCAACGTGTTTTTCCCATCGTTCTTCTAAATCGCAGAGAAAAATATCGTTTTGTGCCCAAACGTGTTATGGCCAGCTAACTATAGGGTATTGTTGCACATATTAAGTCTGCGTCAACTAATGTTCATATTATACCTGCCGTGTGATTATATTGTTATAATATTAAGCACAATGTGAATAATAATTATACTAACAAATTAATCACAGCGGAAGTTTGGTCTAAGTCGTCACCTCTAAAATATAGAGGTCATATTATTTTTAGACCCGTCGCCAGTCGGTATCATCGGAAAATACTAGTGCTGCAATACTGCAATAGTCTGCAGAATAATCATAATAAAAGGGTAACCCCTAATCAAAAATAATATTATGAGTTCAAAAGAGAAAAGTTATGAGAAACGATTACAGATTATTTATTATAAAATATTATTTGATAGTGTAGGTGGTTTATATCGCGATTGTATTAACGAGAACTGCAATAATAATTGATAAAAACCAAAAGTATCGGTTTTATGTTCAGTTCTGTTTTCTTTGAAAATCTAGTCACTCAGTTTTTAGCTGACTTAATTATTATATATATAACTCAAAACTTGAGACTTACTATTATGATCAATACAACAGTGTGTTAATACAAATTTCTTATAAGTAATCTATAATTCGGTTAAATTATTTATTGTATTCTATAGTATTCAGCTCTATATTTCTAAAATTTTGCCCATACTTAATTACAAACCATCATATAAGTCAATCAATCACTATCAATCATAAGTCAATTATTATTATAATTGTATTTTTTACTCATTATAATATATTATTATACTTATCGCATATATTATGCTATTTATTTTACTACAACAGTTTTTTCAACCCATTAGTTATTATTTTGTATTAATTCCGGCGTATTTAACACTCATAAGTTATAATATAGGTATGTATTAATATATTATAAAGGTAATACATGGAATTTTAATACCGGTGTTTTTCGATAAATATTTATTAATTTGCTCTCAGACTTAATAAAACAATTATATGAATGTTGGTATTTCGTCGTAGAATCGAACTCGCGATTAAAATCAATATTATACAATCAAATTAAATATTTTTTCGTAATAATAAACAATAACTGAATTTCTGAATTTAGACCCCGATTGTATATCTCTGACGCCACATGTATCCTGTCGTATTATTTGTTGACACTTTTTCCTTTTTTTTAAATTTATCTTTATTTATAGAAATAAATTGAATATGTGAATTCATCCTAATGGCCACTGTTGCCGAGAGTTATTTAAAATGTTAATCTTAAAATAAAAACAATTAAAAATTAATTTATACTAATTAGTTATTAGTTATTACTTGGTATGAATTGTGACGAATATTCAATAATAATTATGTTTAAAATGTTAACGTGTTTCAAGTTTTATTATTAAAATAATGATATATTTTACTAACAATAATGAACAATAATAATATTATATTTAAGTCTAAACTACATACAAAATTACAAAAACAGTCGAACAATAAAAAATAAAACGTGTCACTTGTACGGGTGTATTTTAATTTGAAAGCAATAATAATAATTATTTAATTTACCAAAACGCTCCCAATATTTTTTCAATTTTCTCATTCAATTACTGGGTTCTAAGAATACTTAAAAATATAAAAGTATTCAAACGTTTAAAATAAGTAAAAAATAATAATCAATTCTGGCCAATTCATTCAATTGCAAAATTGTAAAATGTAATATTGTGAAGTCGTAAAGTTCAGCATAAGTAATAATAATTTATATTTTACAAATACTCTAAGTTGCTGATTTCGAATGTTTCGATAGTGGGTTTCTTCACTTAGTGAATCATGTCCACAGATCGTGCAATAAAACAATTTTAAATTCAAAAAAATATTTCAAAAATTAATTTTTATATTTCTTACATAATATTATATTATTAATACATAGAACAGAATCATATATAGATAAAACAATAATTATGGGAGGCTGACACTAAATATCAATAAGAATATAATACAATATAACAATTATTACAGATTACATAAAACTTTTTTTTTTGAATAACGTCCTATTTATTATGTGGCTTGTAGTCTTGTACCGAAACAATCGATAGTATTTCGTTTTCCAATGTATTTTTAAAATAAATAACATGCGATCGCCGTTTACGATAGCATTTTTTTTAAAAACGAGGCATATATTTTTTTTCAGTCAATATTTTTACCACTTTTATACAATGTATAAATTATTTGGACAACATTCGTATAGGAAAATATAGAAATTATTTGTCAATCGTTTTTTAGGGTAAGTTGGAAAACTTTGGAGGAATCCCGATTTCCGTCAATGATGCATAAATAAAAAATGCTACCCGAAAACTACTTTACGAGTCTGTTGTCGTACGAGAGCAAAACATACAATGTTTGTATAAATTATTCCCATTCGTTTATAATGTTATAATATTTGAAGTACAAGTCCTGACGACCGACAAACGTTTGTTACTTTGTAGTTTGTTAGTTCCTTCGTCGAGTAGTGTAAATATTATATATTTTGATGCTCGCTGGATTTATTGTTTGGCAAAGTCGAGGGCCCTCGTTCGGCGGTTATGGTTGTCGACGAGCGGGTGCGGTGGCAGCGGAGAAAGAGATTAGGAGAGAAATGTATTATTATTATTATATTTTATAGATGGGAGAGTTATGCGAAGAGGAGTACGGTAAAACGCGTATTGCATGCGAACGTGCGTATACGAGGGGGACATATTTTGCAATTCGAATGAGGCTCAATCGTCGACAGTGTATAATGCAATCGAGCAACCGTAGTCGTAAAACGTACGACAAAAATTAATTTCAAAATAAAGTCTGAATATGAGCGAAGGAAAACGAAATCAGAGATCAAAAATTATTGTACGGAAGCTTATTATAATAGTATTCTATATTTATTGATAAATTAAAAAATATTTATTGTTAAATAATGTACCTAATAATCAAACTAATTGATTAACAAAACTAATTTTCTATACATTATCGTAGCACAAATTACGGGAAATGAATCATACCATAGTCTATATTTTCTATACCTAATAGTTTATTTAACATTTTTTTTCTGTTACGGTTTTTATTAAAATATTTTATTTAAATTTAAAAATTGTTCGATATAAATACATCAAGATCTTAATATACAGTTTATGCAGTGTATACAAGACATACATGTCAAGAAATAAAATAAACTTATAGAAACTACAAGAGGCTTTTGGTTTGTATTCCATCAAAAGTATTTGACGGTGAT